GAGAAACAGGAAGAAAAGCAGAGTACAGCCTTACTTTGATTTTCTTCATGCTTTTCTTTTTTCTCCTTGCATATTTTTTCCAACCCCAGGTGGTGTTGATCTAAGAAAAAAAAAACACACACAGAATAGAGCACAAATCACAAACGTGTCAGTACTGTCATTATTCTGTTTTGTACCCTGCCCGCAATGTATCTGTTCTGTGTATGTAAAGAGCTGCTGATCAGCAACATTTGCAAACCTGACATAAATAAAAGGGTTACAAAAAATATGATATGGCTACTCTGGGTATGGTGAAGAGTAACACAATGCAAACCCATTTTAGCATCCCACATGGTCCACAAATGATGAAACTATTTTTGTGGAAGAAATTTCACTTGATTGTTTGCAGCCTGCTTGTCAGGAAGCATATGATTTGGATCATCTCCATATTGCAATTGCACTTGCAATTGATTGCTTACTTTTTCCAGAACTGAAGTGACTGGTTACCTGGCAGCCCATCAACAGAATAAGACAAAAAAAAAAAAGAATAGATTTACTGTAACTGGTTTCACTGGGTTCTTAGAAAGTCCACAGTCCTTCTGTTCCTCTTTTGTTTTGTTTTTTTTTCTGAATGTTCTTTTGAAAAAGTGCCCTTTGAATAATTTAACATGAGGAAAAGTTTGATAAATCCCAAATTAGTACTGAGCCTGTAGGATAAAAACGTAAACTTGTATAAAATGCCATATAAGTTCTGTCACAATACCTCTGCAATTCAGATTTGTTTTTTTAAATCCTGGAAAACTGTGTGTGTGCAAGAGATAAATTCATTTCACACCAATAAATAATTTATTTTTGTTAACTATTAAATTGTTATGTCAGAATACACTGTGATGTCTTTCTCCTATATTCTGTTCAGTGATCCTAAAGACTAGAGATGCTTCCAATGGTTTAAACAAGCTGTGGATCAGGCTATTATAGGGAAGAGATGCTTCTAAGTTGTGAAAGAGGTTAACTAGCTCGGCATTATCATGACCATATCATGGACTTGTTACAAAAATGCTTCTTCAAGCTAGACAAGTAGCGCAGCTGTGGCTGTTATTTATGCTGCTAGGACACTGCGCTCTTAACACATGCTTCTGCATCCACAGGGGTTCAGCTGTAATTCCCATTCTGAAGTCTTTCACTGGGGCTGTTGCTTTACTTGCTAGTAGTGAATAATGCAATCCTGGCTTTGCTCACCGAGCTTCACATCTATGACAGTACTGTTATATCTGAGGGTTTTTTGTACTGGTTATCCATAAATTACTGGTTTGACATGGAATTGATCTTACTATCTCTTGAAACTTTTAAAAGTGAAAACTTTTCTAACATGATTTAGACAATTTCTGGCCCTGCTTGAGCAGGAGAGTTGGACCAAATGATCTCCAACCTCAACTATTCTGTGAATTTTCCACAGATTTTCCTGGTGCGCCTTTGTTTAATAGGATGTCAAGAGCACAGATTAACTGTAGAGTAGGCAACTGGGCTTAGAAAAGAAGTTGAAGCAGGTAAAGATGATGCCCACATTATGAGCTTGAAAGATGGGCACAATCGTGCTGATGTGCAAATTAATTGAAAGAGGAGGTGCTAACACCGCTGGAGAACAAGTAAGATGAAGTCTCTGTGAAAGCACTTGTGAGTTGGTGGCTGTGCTCATAGATGCCAATAAGGCATGCTGAAATTTCAGTTTGGATAAAGGAATTAAGAGTGAAATTGAAAGCAAGATGGTCATTAGCACAGAGAAACAGTTCATTTTGGGTGATGTTAGCTAATGGTATGGTAGAGAACAGAAAGAAAGAGGGATTGAGTCCAGAGTCCTGGGAAACTCCACTGGCGGGTGGAACAGGTATGAAGAGAGAGCTCTAAAGAAGCAGTAGGAAGAAGAACATCACTGTATTTCTATAGGTTTCTAATTTTATGCATTTTTGTGAGTTTCATGGTTTGGAACTAGAATAAGCATATGGAACACAGAAGAAAAGCTTAGTTTGTTTAGAAAATATTAACTGTTTATAAAAATGCATAAGAAGGTGGAAGAAAAATGTAACTGATCTTGAATTTTATAAAATGAGTAGGATTCAGTAACAAGTATTGCGTTTATTTTTACATGCAGTTTACTTTTAAAACTTCTGCATATATTATTTTATTTTCTACAGAATTTGAGATTTAAGAAGCAAAGGTAACATTTTTAAGTTTAGTAGTCAGATTTTAGATACTTAGCCTAAAAGTGTTGTTACACAATTAGCATTTTCCATTCTAAGCCAATTATAAATTGATTTAAAAGCAAAATTTAGAGTTGAATAATTTGAAGTGCAGTTAATGAAACAACAATATAAATGAACTAATTAAAAGAAAAAATAGGATTAATATCCAGAAAAAAGTCACGAATGACATTTACATAGGCATGAGTTCATTTTTCAAGTTAAGAGGCAGAAAGCCAGTTGCTTGATACATTAAAAATGCGTACAGTATGTTGTAGGTCACAGTCCTGGATTGGCTGAGGATCGAAGTATGAGTTTTAAATTTTTCCATCTTAAATGTTTACGCTTTTTTGAAACTATGTAGAAACTTACTTTCTAAGTTCTACTTCTTTTGCAAGAGCCTCTTGTTTTAAGCCATTCAAAAACAGATGTAGTTTGACACAACAGACAAAGATAAATCGCTGCTTGCTTAAAGATACTTTTCTCCTTATGATTAATTGCTGAATGACTGAAAAATTGATTTGGACACTTTTACCTAAGTCACTTACATCCCATGTATTAATTTCTTTGCTTGAATATCAACAGATATGTACATTTATATTGTAATATGGAATAGATATTCATAACAAAAACCAGGCTCCTCCTAACATGCTGTAATTCATTTACCATGAAGAATTTACAAGCCTGTATGTCTTCCTGCCATAAGGCATTGCATAAAATCACTGACTGGATATTAGCCCAGATATTTGAAACAGTGGGCACTACTGTAGCTGCACAAGAATTTAAAGCAGTGAAAAGCTGTCTTATTGAACTGAATTCTTTAAGGTTTTCTGAAATGCTGAAAGTTCTTCATGTATTGAAGGGAAAATCTGGCTCATATTTAGCTGGGTGGAATTGCACTAGCTGAGAGACTTTAGACGAGCAAGATCAGCAGTGTAGATTAAAGCACTTGAGCCTCATCTGCCGTAATTTACACCGAGGACAGATGGTTCCCAAAACATTTTTTGTCACATCATTGGCCCTGAGTTCAGCTCTGTTTATAGCAGAATCAGCATCGTCATCTCTTTACACATGTAGACTGAGCTTTGGGAAAAACTGGGGATTTCGGAAAAAGTGAAGTTTTGAAATGTTTGAGAGAGAGAGTTATCTAAGAGTTATCTGAGTCCATCTCAAATCAAGCAGTATTTGGTACTTCAACCTTTGAAGTAGCTTTACAAGTCTCTACCAATAGCTATATCTTCTCATTCATCATGTAGCTTTTCGTTAGTCACTCTTTTGGCCTTTACATCTAAACTCGTTATCTTTTCACTTCATCCACTGTAAGATGAAGACCATAATGAGGCTACCTAAATAGTGGAACTATGTGTTTCCTTATTTTTATTGAAAAGAGTAAAATACAGCTTTTAGACATACAAGCTTTTAAAATATTAGGCGTTTTAGCTTTTAAGATAAATATTTCCATGCTATATAGGAATGTGCCTTAGTTCAGAAAATTATCTCTCAATCTCTCTCTTTACTTCTGTTTCCTTATTTACTGCCTAGTAAATAGTCAGACTGTGGCTGATGAAAATATGGTAATAGTATATCACACTATTTTTGCAAGTCTAATATAATTGGCATGTTTTTTGGCTACTCATATATACATACTGTTGATCATACATACCTTTTCTGGTGTGTGTATAATTCTTGCAAATACGAAGTTGTGTGTTCCCGCATAAGACAATTTGCTAATAAAGTCAAAGAGGTGATTGTAAGTGGGAATGTCCTTATGGTTGAAATGTTTCTGTTTTAGTGTGATATAGTAAGTTTGGAAGCAAATGCTTTATGGAAGATATTTCAAGCTGCATGTTTGTGGTGGTCACCCCAGTTTTCGTAAGAAGGCCGCGTCTCCGTTCACATCAGTTAGCTTCGTATTTGGACTTTGAATTGCAGTGCTCTTCCTGCAGATGAATCCTGAGAGGCTCAATTCAGATACCCTAATACAGGTGTTTGGTGCCATTTGAGAGGCCGTAGAGTGTCTGATCTGTAAGCTTCATAGTTATGTCATGGGCTTTGTAGATCCCAGGGCAGCAGTCAGAGGCTTGATGGGATTGCGTGGGCATCTCACATATCACTAGAAATTCCTGTTTAGGTAGATACATTGGGCTTTTAATGGTAGTTCAGTAGCACCTCTGACTGTTGTTTTCCTTGATATCATCTAAAGTAATAGACTTCTGAATTCAACAGCAACGATTTTCCTCTGCTGCTGTCCAAAGCATTGACAGACCTTGAAAAAATAATTTCAGTGTATTTGTTTCTCATATTTCCATAATAGTTATGTAGATGCCAAGAGGAGCAGATTTTTAGAGATTTAGATGTTTTTCGAATGCTGACCAACGTGTAAACAAGGTGAAAACAACTGAGACATTTCTAGAGAGACTCTAGAATAACAGATAACAATATATTTCAGCCATTTTAATGGAGAATTTTCAGAAGGAGAACATTGAGACATTTTTTCCTCACACTTTCCACAATCTTATTTCACCTCGTGCTGAATGCACTTGCCAAGAACTGAAATATTTTATTTTTATGTAGGATATTTAATTTGCTGATTACATGGACTTTCTTTTTTTTGGCATTCCGTGTAATTCTGTAAAAATAAGCGATATTAATTGTCGTAATATTTGAGTGGTCCACTAATTTATATTTGTTAAAAGTTGATTCATGTTTAAGCAGTTTTTTTATATATTTCAAAGAAGCTTTTGGTTTTACTCAGAACTCTTCATCTGTGTTTCTCTCTCTTAGATTGAGGAGGATACGTGGCAGAAATACTATCTGGAAGGAGTTGCAAATGAAATGTATACAGAATATCTATCTAGTGCCTTTGTGGGTTTGTCCTTCCCTGCAGTTTGTGAGTAAGTAGAAATATATATTAATAGACATAAGTATTTGCCTGCTCTCAAGTGAAATCAAAGGTTTCCATAGGAGACGTTCTCACTCTGCTACAGTCCTAATATTGTTGCTGCATCAGATGGGATCCAATAAAATAAACATTAAAGCAATCACTGCATGGAAGTTTTCCAAACATTTTAATGCCTGTTTTTAGAAGTGATTTCAAACTAAGTGATAATAAATGAAAGCCTGAATGTTTTCAGTGTTGAACAAATTAATCAGCAATCCATTTAAATTGAGTTTTTATTTGTAAGTGCTATCCTATTGTTTCTTTTAATGATTCCCATTCTTTAAATGGTGTTTGGCAGTGTCACCATCTTGGCTGATGTCCTATTTTAGGGAAATTATGCATTAATTGAAGCAGATGTAATGGAGTTATATATGCAGTAAGTGGTGTGGCATCCAGCACTCCATTGAACTGGTTTTAATACACTTTTAACAAATGAAACATGTGTCAGAGAAAATATTATCTGTTCTATCAGATTTCCTCTTCTGTTGGTATTGTTCTCTGTTACAGCCATACCAAGAGGTTCCAGCAAAGGCTGTGGACCACTTTTCCTAGGGTCTGTTCAGAGTAGAGTCTGTTTCTTATTTGGCATTTTTGAAGAGATTGATTTCTAACTAGATAACACAGAAAAACTTCTGTAGATGCCATTCTTAGAGCAAGAAATAGAGCAAGAGGTAAGATAGTATCTCTATGTAAAGGAGAATGGCTTTGCTTTAATTCCTCTCACTTGTCCTACCTTTCATGATTTTTGCAGTATAGTATAGGTTATGGCATAAGAATGAGGAAAAAACAACTTTTAGGTGAATGTTAGCAATTACAAATCTGGCTTTCTCTGGGATAGAGCTAGCCCAGAGGCCAATCTTCAATTTGCTGCTAGAATGAAGGGGCTCACAATCCATCCCTCAACTGTGTTAACTAGACTGTGACTAGGTTATTGAGGGAAAATGTTTGTTACTGTAATCAGAAACCTTTGCCTGAGTGTCAGCAAACAGCAAATCTCAATAGATATTCTAGAATTGTGTGTTATACTCAGAACAAATAGTAATATGTGCTGCTTGCACCAACCAGAATCATGAAAGCTAAATCTTCCCGGCCAAAACCATTGTCAAACACAGTTGAGTTTCTATGAGTTCTGGAAACTTCCACCTGGGAATGTATTTGGCATAAAGCTGCCATTTGTTTAACGTGCTGATAGAGCTGAGATAAAATAATAAAGAAAGAGCATTTAATGAGATTATGAACATCCTAAAATACTGTAGCTCTCCTCAAGAATTTGATTATTTGGAAGCTTAATTATCTGTATTTTCTGGTTTAAATTAAAGAAAAAGCTGTAACTCAAATTTACCAGCAGTTTAATGATAACACTGTTCAATTCAGGTTATTTAAAGCACAGTGGTAATTACAATGTAGTGTTATATATCACTGGGTTTGGTGCATATGTGTTTTCATTACAGTAAGAATTGGCTATTCAATTTCCAGAATACACACAAAACAGCAAAAAGTGCTTTACCCTGGTTTGTGAACAGGAAATAAAATCAGTAGACAGTCTTAATGTGGTCAATTACCTACGAAATGTAAAAACTTTGAGAAAAGTTTTTCTAATTAGCTTTTAAAATTCATGTTGTCAATGACATTTTAAAACCCTATAACTGAATGAGATGTGCTGCTCCCTGAGGTTGTTGGTCTTGATTACCAGTCTAGGAACGTTATTCTTTGGTAAATAGGCTGCCATTTGGTTTAGACAGCAAGCATAGATAGGGTGCAGAAACAGCTATTATTTCAATGGAAATAGGACACCCAGTATTTTATAAGAATTTCAGGGTTTTGACTTCAACACCAAGGTGAAGGATGAGACTGACATTGAAATAGAAGTGAATAGCATTCTGCAAGTTTTATTTATAACATTATGTGTATGTGTGTGGGGGCTATGTGAATATGTTCCAAACAATATATTTCTAATATGTGATCATAATTTCTATAATTCTGTGCCCTTGGATCTTTTTGGACCAGATGTAAATGACGCTGATTAAAGAGGAAGGTAACATGATCTTTGTCCCTCTTTTCAAAGCACACAGTATTCTAGTGGGGCTTACAATATTGATTTATGCAAGGCTAACTTCCACCCCGGTTCTTGGTCTACCATTCTCCATCCAAAAGTTTTCCTGGTGAGGGCTGGCACATGCCCTATGTATCCACGCTTGACCTAGTAGTAGAAACAGTATATGAAAGGTGTCCATGTCTCTTAATGTATGTTAGATCAGGCCCGTTTGCTATTGATTCTAATTTTCAAATCGTTCATTCAGTCAAATGTCAGAGCCATTTTTTGATAAGCAAGAAAGTTATAAAGGTGTCAATAGCTCCGCCTTTGTGCTGTGTATTCTGTCATGGATTATAACCATGGCATATGTTCTCATGTTAGTCATGGTGTTTTCTTTAAGCTTTGATAACAGACCGTGTTTGAGACGCTGATCGCAGATGTCTTAGCAACAGCACTATCCTGACAAAGGAGAACGAGGCTAGCCAAGTAGATGACACCCAGCGTTTATCTGCATTCTCTAACAGCTCCAGAGCAGATAACGTCTCTTTGGAGTATGTTTGCAGCTGTACCACTTCCCAGTCTGAGAGTGACTCAGCACTAAACCAGAGTCTTTCACAGAACAGGACAATGTGGGCTACCTGTCACTGTCAAGTTCTTGCTTCTGTCTTTGTGTCGTTCTCTTCAGCTAGTTGGTTTCTGTCTCACCTCAGAGGGTGAGGTAAACCTTAGGCACTTTTGTACTCTTGAGGCTGAATCCAAACATAATACTTCCATTGCAGTTTGATACTTCTTTGAAGCAGTGAAGCTGTAGTTTCAGGTCATAGCAGTTACAATAACAGCTTTTCCCTGCATCCAGGATTTTTTTGGTGATTGCAGATGTGTGTCAAATTTTAGACTTCTCAAGTCTAACCTTAGCTGAGATAATGGCCAAGTCAGCCTGTAGAATGACGTGGCTCCAAATGAAGCTTCCCATCTTTTGACTGTAATTAAAATCAAACTTCATCTGAGTATCTCAGAGAAGTCTTCCATATTGTACACTCTCCTCCCAGCTCTCTGAGCAACTTTCCTTTGGGTCTGCACAAAAACATCCCCACTGCTCCCACCCAACCAATTAATACATGCTAAATAGCCTCCTTAGACACCCCTGTGACCCATCAAGTGGCAACACATGAAAACAGAGGTTTTACTTCCCCCTGTGCTCCCGAAGTTTGGCCCAGTGAGACAGCAAGTATGAAGTTCACAGTAAGCGAACTTCAGTAAGCGGTTCA